TCTATAATAGGCATGCCAATTGAAGTATACAATTAATTGAGGTTTTTAGTTGAGATAAAAAAGTCAATGGCACGAGCGGGATTCGAACCCACGACCTTCGGCTAGATACGCCGCTGCTCTACCACTTGAGCTATCTTGACCTCGATCCACTCGGACACCAACTTCCCATCTCAACCGCACCTTTTGAATTTTCTCTCCTTTTTGCCATTTTTCAGGTGTCATTTTGCAACAATCACTCCTGGGATCTCCGAGTTCAGTTTTCTCGGTTTCGACCTTGTCAGCATGCAGAACGTCATGAGATAGTGAATCATCTCGTACAGCATCACTTTATCCAATGGATTAGAACCGATTCCTTAAAACCAAAACTGTAATATTAGAAACATCCTCTTTGTATTTCACCGCCAAATACCCACCGACCATTTGATCTAATTGCACTGCATTGAATTTCGTCTCTTTAATGCCGCCGTCTCTCAACAACTGATACGGCATGATTCTGAGCATGACCGTTTTAAATTTAGGCACTTCGTTGCGTACTCCGATGGTACTGTAAAATGTGTAGACAGTCGTGAGATCCGCCATCCTCTGCATAATGACTTTTTCCAGCCATTCCTTTTCTAGTTGTCTTATCGCCTCGCTCTGGCCTTCGTCTACCGTGCAAACTGGGTCTTGCAGGCTCAAAATCCTGTTCCCTGAATTCGAACCCGATATACTTACAAATGGGCTTTTTTTCAAAAACATCGGCACCCCGAGGGTTCATATAACCTCGTAGTTGAAATACCCTCGTTTAAAAATTTAAAAAAAAATTGTATGCAGTTAAAATGTAAAGAACCCCGGTTCCGCGGTAAAAAATTGGTTTTAATTGCAGGGCTGTCATGATTCGAACCGGAAACTCTTAAAGAGATTAGATGCTGTGCCAAGGCTTTAACCTTTGTGGCCAAGAACGCGTATTTTTAGATAATTAACTAATATAATAATAACTAACAAACTAATAACTAAAAATAGTAAATAATTAAAGTGGTTTCATTTCACAGAGCTTTGAATTGTAAATTATTAAAACTATCAGAACTTGCACGGTACTATTCCTGAAATCAGACCTCATGGCTCATTTATTATCGTGACGGAGAAAAGATGAATGCTAATGAAAGAACCCTAAGAAAATGATGGTTGACGTACGTCGTTATTAGCCCATAACATAGTCGCTTAGCCGCTTCTCAAACCGCTGTTCCAATGGCCACTGTACAAGGCACCACTTCTGTATAGTCTCGTACTAAAACCGAACCTTTTTCCAATCGCCGTCGTACCAGTTGTTTCCTCAGTAGACGACCACTCCCTAAAGGGCAAGGCGAAATCGTTATTCGACGTTTACACCGCAAGAGGAGTTGCCGTGTTTACTTTTCCATGCTTTTTCCCAGCGCGATAAAGTCCGTAATGATACATTTCCCCCTGAGTGGAGATACGGTGAGTGATGCCCCTCCCTCAAATTGCACCGCATGTCTCCCTCGTACCAGGAACCGTTTGGCAACAAGATACTGCCCTGGCCATGTGCCGTCCCTTCCTTAAACGAACCCTGAAATTCGTTAAAATTATAGGATTACTTTTAAATCTTTACAGACAACTTTAGAACCGCTTACTTCGTAAATGGTACCGTCGCCCCATATATATTTACCCTCACCTTCCATTACCATTCTAGATATACGTCCGATGTATCTACACGTTTACAAATGTACAAGCTCCATTTTGCTCATAAAATGGATGTTTATAATAGTTTCCCTATCTCCGTTTTTAAAAAAGATTTCTACACTTTGATCTCTTTCCTTATAGGTCCAATTCAGAAGCTTTCTATTTATGTATAACGCTCCCAGATAGGTCTTAGCCAGGCAATACGCAAGTTCTGAAATTTAAGCGCTTATAATTAATACACCAAAAGGAAACGTGTCAAAACCTTAAAATCAATGCTCCCAATTATGACTACTAAATACATATATGGATTAGTTTGTTTGATGCATGGATATATATGTATATGGCTTCTATACCCTTGGATTACATTATAATTTACATAATCTGTATATAATGTATTGGTTGAAATGAAAAAGTTAGTGTCACGAGCGGGATTCGAACCCATGACCTTCGGCTCAATACGCCGCTGCTCAACCACTTGAACTATCGAATCCCGTTCGTGAAACTGGCTTTTNTATTCACGTGTTCTTTCCATCTCAGCTTGGCATCTAAGGTCATTCCCAGATATTTAGCTGTATTGCTGTATCGTATAGTAGTTCCATCGATTGTGAGCGACGGAACATGGTTCACCTTTCCGCTTGTAAAGATTAGATGAACTGATTTATGCTGATTTAGCTTGATTTTCCTTTTTTTTCCATTCGTTTATCTTATTACATGCATTTTGGAGGATTTTGGTTGAATGGGTGATAGTCGGTCCTAGTGATGACCGCTGTGTCATCTGCAAACGTTGCAATTTTTACTCCATCTATTTTTGGAAAATCACTGATGTATAACAAGTAAAGCAGTGGGCCTAATATGCTACCTTGTGACACTCCTGCATTTATTGTTTTTAATTTTGAATATTGATCTTCTTGTTTGACTCTAAACAGTATGTTAGATAGGTAGGAACTGATAATATCGACTTACTGCTTTGGTAGCATACCTTTTACTTTATTGATGAGTCCTTCGTGCCAGACCTTGTCAAAAGCTTGTGAGACATCAAGGAAGATAGCAGAACAAATTTGTTTTTCTTCGAGAGATTTTTCTATTACGTCCGTTACTCGGTGAATTTGGTCTATTGTTGAATGTCTTGTTCGGAATCTAAATTGGTGATCAGGAATGATTTTCTTTTTTTCTACAATGGGTTTTATTCGTTTTAATAATAACTTTTTGAAGAGTTTAGACACTGGTGGTAGTAGCGATATTGGTCTATATGATTTGAACTCGTTCGCCGGTTTTCCTGATTTTTTTATCATAATGACTTCTGCGAATTTCCAGATGCTGGGAACATATTTCAGTCTGATTTGCACCATTAAATAGGCATGTTAGTTTAACTATACCCTTTTTTGGCAATTGTTTTAGTTTTTCTCCAGTGATAAGGTCATATCCTGGAGTCTTTTTAGCGGGCAAATTTTTAATTTCTTGTGCTACTTCTTTAGGTGAAATTAGCTTTATATTTTCTTCTTGTGGCGTGGTTGTTACTTCAAGAATGCTGCCATTGATGATTTCATTTGGTTTGAAGATTTCAGCAAGGTAACTAACAAACAATTCGGCTTTTTCTCTGCTGTCTCTCGCCCAAGTACCATCCACTTTTTTTAATGGAGGAATTTGGGCGATTGGTCTTTTAATTTTTTTATGGCCTTCCACAGCGAGTAGTCAGTGGCTTCGCCTGGTGTTAGATCTTCTAGATAGTTTCTGATTGAGTCATGTAGTTTTTTTTAGCTTTCGTTTAAGTTTTTGAGCCATATTGTTAAGAATGTTTTTGTCTGCAGGGTCTCTTGATTGTTGCCATCTTCTCCTAGCCTTTCTTTTCTGATTTATTATTTCTTTAATTCCCTTGGGGTAGTTGAAGCCAATTGTTTTATGGATAGTCTGTCTAGTATTACACCATGCTAAAGTCTGAATGATTGAGGTGAACACCTCTGCTTCATTATCTAATTGTTCTTCCGATTTTAACATTAAGGACTGTTTTTGCATCCACGTCTAAGAATTTACGTGAGACAACAGAACTACAACAAACCCTATTTTCCATCCAAAACTATGCAGTTTGTAAACAAACTTTTTTATTAACCGTATAGTTATTTTACGATAAATTATTTTTTCACCTTGCTAGTACGCCATAATCGGCTTATACATACGCTGCTGATAACGCTATAAAAAATATAAATTTATTCACATCGTCTGCTTTTCGTGACTATGTGTCAATGGCGTTTTGTAAAGTCCTTCCCACGTTTTCGAGATTTTTTCCAGACGAGTTAAAGGAAAGTTCATCGAGATAAAGGCCTGATCAGCCAGACCGTTTACCGCAATAGCAAATAAAGTGACACTCAGAACCGAACCCTGAGAATCAAGTTTTTTTAAATTAACGTACTAGATAAGGTGGTACCTAATCTCAACCAGAATCTCCTCATTTGGAGGAAGCTTTTTAAAAATTTAGCTATGTTCCCTCTTAAACCTCAATCATAGTTTCTTAAGAATACCAAATCTCCAGGTCGTATCATATGCTTTTTCCAGGTCAAAGAAGACAGCTAAAGCATGCTCTCACTCAAAGAAAGTGTTCTGAATAGCACTTTCAAGGAGTTATTATTATTATTATTAAAAATTACATTAAACGTTCAAAATATCCACCTTCTCGAAGAATTCCATCCAAAGAAGGTGGACATTGAACTTTTGAAGCTTTTTGTTTTTTCATATGTGCAGTTTTGTATCAAAGGGTCAGTTGTGTTTACTGTAGCTATAGTTTACTACCTATGGACGGTTCACCTCTGTTCACTGTTTGTACCTGCATTTATAAAAACTCAAGCATTTATTGGATTTGACTTTACTTATTGCCGCTTTTGGATCAGAGTGCGAGGCCCGTTATGCTAATTTTCAAAATTTTAAAATAAGAAGCTTAGTTTAACCCAGTGGTTGTTACATAACTAGTGGAGTGGAAACTGCCAATACTAAAACAATGAATATTGTATATGACATGTAACTATAACTCATTAGATGTCAATCTTTAAAGTAGTACAAAAAAGTACAACGATCTACTAAAGTAAGACTACTAAGTACAACAGTCTATTCAAGAAAAATCAGGTTTTATGGTTTACAATACTGAGATTTAATAAACTGTCGTTAATTTAATTATTTATTGCCAAAAATTAATCATTTACTATCGGCATTAATATTAAAGTTGAATTTAATGGATATCTATCGAAGAAATAATACTAGTAGTTTATTGAAGTAGAGCATCTAAAGAGATTGTTTAGTCGATATGAACCGTCGCCTTGGATGCGCCGTTCATCTCTAGAATTCTCCGAAGCTGTTTTTGAAGGAATAAGTCAGGAAAAGGGGACAAAGACGCCGAACAATGGGCGAGGATCAATCAGGTCTCTGGTGAGTGACTTTTAATCCCATTATCGATTCTCGATCTAGTGAAAGCCGTTACGACTCTGCCGAATCTAGACCGGTTGACTTTCCTAGTTTCGCCGTTGCGTGTTCCAGGATTTTAGTGGGATTGGGGGTGGAGGGCCGCTTTGTTTCTCAGTGGCATGTTCACTTTTACGACTTGTCATTAATTATGTTCAGCTTCTAAGTCTGTGCCGAACTCAGTAACTGACGGCTCCTACCCCCCCTTTGTTGTTCGTAGGGTGAGGTAGAAGGGTGCGTCGATTCGTGACCCAGTTAGCCACTATTAATGAACCCCCTTTCTTTCATCTATTAAATCTATTAATTTATCTAAAATTAACTGCCATTTTAGATAAATGAATTAATAAACAAACAGTGATAGCAGTGCAATTTGAAACAAAAGAAAACATTCAGTCCCTTCTCCAGTCTTTGGAGAATTTATCCTTCTTACCAAGACTTTAAAATATTATTAATAATTCAAAATATTAAAAAACATATACATATACATAATTGTTATCTGTTTGCCTATTTGAACAAAAAACTCAGACCTCTCTTCAAGCTTTCAAGTTTTATATCTTCTTTACCATGAAAATATTATTAATAATTCAAAACATAAAAAAACAAATATTTAAACAAGGTGTTCATTTGAGATGGCCGCTGAATTTCTCTTGAACCAATGTTGCTATCAAAAAAACCAAAAATGCATGTTTAATCATTTTTAGTCTAGTTTCAAATTTTTAACTTTTTTTTGAGAAAATTTATACAGGGTACGTCAGGCCCAGTTCAGTTTTGAATTTTCAACTACGACCAATCCTAACACATCATGTTAAAGGATTTTTTACGCTGAAAATAATGGTACAATCAGATTTTAAATTGGACAAAAATGACAAAGTTATGGCAAAAAGTTTGAAAAAATAAAAAACTGTCATATGGTTTGCTATTTATTAATCACATTTAATATTCGAACTGCTTACCTTGCGTAAAGATGCAAACATTTGCTCTTTTTAACCGCTCTTTACCAGTGGTCAGAGAGATAGAGTCAGAGGAGATTCACAAGCAATTTCTATCCTTTGCCGCAGTTCTTCAACTGAAGTTTCTGGGTTATGATTAGCGTAGACACTATTTTTATAATAGACACTATACATGGCCCCACAGAAAATAGTCAAGTGGAGTTATCCACCTATCCACCTATCCCGGAGTGACGATTCAAATAACGTCTCTCCTCCAAAGAATGGTGTGCGGACATCCATCAAACTGGAGTCGTTCTTTGTCGCTGTTGCAGAAGAACATCATGCAACAGTGTTGGTAAAATCTCACTCAAAAAATTGAGGAACTGAGCACCATTTTAATTATTTTCGTAGAAATAAGGCCCAATTAATTTATTTCCGAGAAGTACACACCGAAGTCATCAACTTTTTGGATCGTAGATTAATAAAAAAATCCCATAAATCATTAATATGTGAACGTCGACACAGCTCTAAAAAGATGCCCTGGTGTAGACTGAAGACAATTGAACATAAGAAAACGATTGTATGAACATGTTACAATATGTAAACAATGTTTGTAAATCCCAGGCCCTGAAGATGATCTCAATAAAGATCGAAACGTTGGCACGATAAAGAAAATGTTTTTCTGAAACCTACATCACACCAGACCGCATCTCACGATTTCTAAATAAATATCGATTAACGGTCACTAATCACCACACATAAGAACACACAAAAAGCTTCTACAAATTGAATTAAATGTTTAAAATGTTCACCTTTTTGAGGGATGAAAACCTGATATCGTTTCCTTTTGAAAGCTTTTATTTTTTCTTATTCACAGTTTCGTACCAAAGAATCTTTTTTAATAGAAGGCTAATTTTTTAACAGTTTGTAACAGAAAAATCACTTTGTTAGCAATTAAATGTTAATTTTACTTTGTAATAAGTACTAATAATAACTGAACGTTGAAAAATTAAGTAAACTGCTCAAAAATGAATAGGGATAATGCCAATTTTGTAGTATTTACTTTCCCTATCTTTTTTATTTTATTTTTATTATAAATTGCATTAAAATTTATTAGAAATTATTATGTTTTTACCGAAAGAAAATTTAATTAAGGGCTTTTGAAAAATAACAAAATAAAAGGCTTTAATTCCGTTTATTGGCATAATAATTTTTTTAAACAATTAATGTGCATGTATAATGCTTCTGTTAACTAAAACGTCTTTGCATCTGTTAGGCATACTATAAATAAGGTTGTCACTAATTTCATAAGGGATTTCGCTCCATAAATGTTGCAACGCTGCACTTAGTTGTTGCAGGTAATTGGATGCGGATGGTGATCGAAAAGATTTCTCTGTAACACATCCCAAATGTCCTCAATGGGACGGAGGTCTGGAGGCAATGGGAGAAGGGGCAGAATTCTCTGAAATTACAAAAAGCTTCTAAAAATTAAATGAAATGTTCAAAATGTCCACCTTCTTGCAGAAAAACATGAACAACTCTGCCTCTAGGGTGTCTGGCATTGTCATCCAGAAATCGAAAATCCCTGCCCATGAGGTCCCTGGTTTAGGGGTGCATTCCTTGATAGTTTTTTGGACATAACGGACTGCAGTGAGGTTGCCTTCAAAAATATGGCAGTCCAGTTCGCCCTTCAGTGTAAATCCCAGACTAGACCATTACACCACCTTTTCCAAACTACATTAAAGGGAGCACTGAGGCATTGCACGCATCCCCGTTCTTGGTTCTCTTCGGCGCCTACTGTCACTATATAGACAGTAAACATAACAGCATTCCTATAGGTGTTCTCTTCTCGCTGGGCCATATTCTCCTGAGTTGCTGATGGTGGGCTGTTGCTGCAGGTCGCCTCAAAGAATGTAAGGCCAACTTCCCACGTTGATAAAGGCTTTGCCAAAATATCTTGTACTTAATTTAGGAACTGGCGGGCATTATGGAAACGGTTCCGTCTTGTAGCTTGAAATATTTCCGTCTTCCCGGCTCCCTTAGCGTCGTACTACGTTGAGATCCAATACCCGGCCTCCTATTGGCACTTCCAGTCTCTCGGAATCAGGCTAAAGCCCGGGAGGCCATGCTCTGCGAAACGATAACTCTGTAACATCCATTTGCCAGTGACCTCGATTACTCATTCTCACAGTAATATTGCGAACTTCTAGTTTCAAGATGATATCTTTCCATGGTTAAAGATAATACAACTGGATTAAAATGGACAAAAGACGAGAGGAGTTTATTTATTTACAAAATGAGTAATTGAAAAATGGCAAAAAGGAGGGAAAATTCAAAAGGTGGGATTGAGATGGGAAGTTGGTGTCCGAGTGGATCGAGGTCATGATGGCTCAAGTGGTAGAGCAGCGGCGTATCTAGCCGAAGATCGTGGGTTCGAATCCCGCTCGTGCCATTGACTTTTATCTCAACTAAAAACCTTAATTAATTGAAAAATGAGGAATCTTAAGTTCAGATAAGTAAAGTGGGCCGCGCATAATGCGCTCCCGTGAAATGCAACGAAAAAATGCTATTAGTACTCATGCAGCACGATAAACAGTTTCACATAGTCTGTTTGCAATGAAATAATAATTATAACATAACAAAAAGCGATAACCGTAACAACCGATAACAATTTAGTGGCATGCCTGACCATTAATTGGTCTGATAATCTATGCCCCGATAACTATCTATTTCCTACTACTTTAGTGAGGGAGGTCCTTTCCTGTAGGCGCCATATCTGTCATATTGACATACTCAAAAATAATCTACTGAAACTTTACACAAGAACATTTCGAAAATTTATCTTCAAAGAATTTTGTATTTTGTTTGCTTAAAGTTACAATTTAAAAAATGAATTTCATAAGGTTTCAATGCTCTTTTTATGGTTCAATCAAATTACAGTAGGATCAATATTTTAGGATATAATGAGATACTTTTAATGATACTTTTAGTGAAAAGTTGACGTAACGTGAATAGGTAAATAGCACGAATACAATTGAGAATCAGACTTTGGACAATAGAAAATTTTTAGTCCAATTTGACATGTAAGATAACCTCATGAAATTATCTGTTCACGAGACACCCTGTATATTAGAAGCATGACAATTTAATTAATTTAAACAAATTTGTCGTGCTATAGTTTTCAAATTTATTTTGAACATGAAACGGTTTCTTTCCCTTGTAAGTTTTATTATTATCATCTATTATTATTTTAATGAAATTATTTATTAGTTTAGGTATTAGTATTATAGGTTAAATTCACTAATTTCGTGGTCCGCTTGACCAATTAGTACTTTACAATTAATTAAGGTTTTTATTTGAGATGAAAAAAAGTTAATGGCACGAGAGGGATTCGAACCCACGACCTTCGGCTAGATACGCCGCTGCTCTACCACCTGAGCTATCGTGACCTCGATCCACTCGGACATCAACTCCCCATCTCAACCCCGAAGGTCTTGGGTTCGAATCTCTCTCGTGCCATTAACTTTTTTTCATCTCAACTAAAAACCTTAATTAATTGTAAATTATAGTTATTTTTTGAACTAGCATTAATCATTGATTACGATATTACACTGCGCAAGTATTTGTAGGATAGGTACAATATAAATTCAAAACAACATAGATGTACAAAAATTAAAATTCAATCATGATTTTTGTAAAAGTTTTATTTTGAATGTTTTAATTTAAGAATAGACTTATAGCTTAAACGATAGTCTTCTAGGGGCTGACATTCGAAAATTTAAAATTATAATTGCTATAATTGTACACCATTTTTTAGTATTAAATTTAGAAAATTATTTAAACAGTAATAAATTTTATGTGTTCAGTAAAATTAACTGTCTAGACAGGACCCAAATGAACCAAGCCTCTGATAATAAATCGCTGATAAACAAGTGCTCCCGTAGTCTGTCGTCTTAAACCATATTAAAATTACTTGTCAAATTTTATGACCTTTCGTTTCAAATGTAAAAAATTCGACAAACCCCAATGGGAAAACTGTTTTCCTCTGTTTTAAAGGAACATCGCGAGGGGCGCTGGGGGCAAGAGGAGATCGGGGGTGGCTCTCTTCAAGAGCGTCTCTATTATTTTCTCAAAGGGCTCCAAGCTGAGCAGGGAGCGAGAGATCGTGCCAAGCCGTGATATGAAAGCTGAGACGAAAAAGGAGAAGGAACCACCGATCAAAAAGGTCACACATTTCTCGAGGTAGGGGAATTTTTCCAGCATGTAATGAAAACAAGTGTTGAAAATTTCAACCGAAGAGATGCCAAGCATGCTAAGAAAGCATGTAACATGTCTAATATAGTTTGAACGCTGTCACATTAGAGAAAAGTAAACTGAACTTATTATTTTTTTCAATATTTGTTACCAAAATAAAATGTAGGCTACATCTGCATGCAGTCAGTAAAAATAATTAATAAAATTTACAAATATATCGTTAATTAATATATAAAGGAAATGATGATGCAAAATGCAATTTGTAAGAACGTATTATTTTCCAATGAATGACTGAATAAATTAATAATAATTTAATCGAAAGAAACATAAAAGAAAGAAGGAATATTTTATAAGCACGTAAAGTGTAGAAAGCTTTTGTTGGGAACACTAAGTCAAAAAATATTAGCACGTGTCCGAGGATTCTTGCCAATTTAAATAACAAGATTTACATGTCTTGAATTTTTTTTAAGGTTTTTTGACTCTGAATTCAACGGATTCATTTTTAATTTGAAACAGCAGTTTTGTAGTTCCATTGCATTTACTTTAAATGCAAAATGATAAATAAATAAATTTATTATTGGTCGAAGAACTTGCGGAAGATTTTGTTTTTCTAAAAAACAATGTTCGCAACTATTTTTTGCGAATCACTTGAGTTTCAGCTCCAGATTAAAAACAGTTTGAACCGTTGAAACCAGCGTTTAAAAATCTTTCAAAAAATATAGATCAATGAGTATCTTGTTATTTGAAATAGTCAAAACCCTATTCGTATGGCGATATTTGTATCAAAACTTTTTTGTTCATGAAAAACTAGACAAACAATAAAAGTTTATATATTTCGGTGTTTTCACCCAAAGCGCTATAATAAAAATATAATAAACAAAAATAAAATATATAAAAATAAAATAAAATATTGTAGGAAACACAAGTTAAACTCACCCTGTCAGTAGTATCAGTCGATTTGTTGTTTTACCTAGTACAAGTTTTGGTCGACTTAAAATTAACAAAATAATACTTTAGAAAATTACGATTAGTTTATGCAACAAATTTTTTTTTTTAATGGATATTTCATTTCCTTGTCGGATTGCCTCAGGATAACATTACCAATATTTTCAAAATGGTGAGTCAGAAAATTAAAAAAGCTAGGTACAAACTTTAGGCAAGAACAATTTTTTTTGCAAATACATCATAATAATTCGGTGTTGAAATGGACAAAGGTATAAAAAAATTTATATTGCTTGTATATTGCCTTATGTTTTAACCTTTATCTTTAGCAAAAACATGAATTGAAGGAAATAAAAACAGCACCAATTTAAATTTCAGCTATGTGATTGTTATGAAACATGCTTCAAAGTATATACGCTTAATTGAACATTTATTTTGTATATCTGTGTGATTATTATGGTAAAAATGAAATAATTAAAAAGTATAAAATGTATTTTCTACATAGTGTTGTGCTTTATATGTTTATATATTTAATGCTAGTTTATATATTTATTTAAATGATTTCTTTTTGTAGCATGTACTGTCCTATTTTCGTTTTCTATGTAAAGATTGTTTTGTAGTGGTTTGTTTGCTTTGCACTAGTGCTCAAGTAGACATAAACTTTCAGCATTAGCAAAGTTTTGGACTTTTTACTTCGCATGACTTTGGCAGGTGGTGAAATTTGTTTTAAACTCTCTTCTCCACACATTGAATTTTCGGCAATTGCGAAAACTTCTTGACTCGTGTGCCTGAAAGTTTACAAAACAGCCCAAACTGTAACTGTATGTTAGTTTGATCGACAAGATTGAGTATTTTAGAACAACTTTCACTTAAACGCTTAAAAAGGAACTTTTTACTTTAAACGTTTGGCACTGATTAACGAACATTTCTCAGACAGTCCCAGATTTTTAAATGATCGTAAATGAAACGATAGAAATTGAAGGATCCGAGCAATATAACAACCCCATAGCGTGTTGGGGTTCAAAATCGAAGGTCTATTGTTAATTCCTTTTCCAGAACAAGACTCTTCGGACGATCAATGAATATTTAGTATCAAGAGGATGTATTTTAAAATATGAATTAATATTAGATTGGGAAGATGATCAACATTTATAAACAGCTAAAGGTCTATCATTGATATTCTTTTTTCATTGTTTTCTTCTATGCTAGTCTTTATTATATGTTCAAAATATATAATAATAGAAATGACGAAGGTAGGGTGAGTACTAGATCCACTTTTTGTAAATGATGGGTCTATTCGTTAGGGATGTACATTTCATGCATGTATCTCTTTGTTTAATTTTACATTTTTTTAATTCAAATTTCTCAAATCAATCTAATTCCCTCCTTCTGTTGAAACTGAATAACACTGTTGTATTTAAATTGAAATGGAAATTGTGTTTTGTATAATTTAGATGGTCCTTAAATTCAGAAAATTTGTTCGATTTAGGTAAGTTAACTGTCGTTTTAATTTCTCTGCCGCTTTGTCCTATGTATTTAATAACGCAATCATTATTATTATTATTTATTAGAATAAGATTTAATTGCATCATATTTAAAGTTTTTCGCAAGTTCAAAATTGAGCGGCATTAAAAACCATCTTCTCATTAGGGTGGGGGGTTTCACTCTTACAATTCATGTCGAGAGACGTGTTTGTAACTCCTTCACCGATGATGAGCGTTTGAAATCGGGATCGTTGTAAACAAAAAATCTATGAGTAGAACCATCATTTACAAAAACTGAAAGGCATGAAAATGTAATTTTTTATAGGAACGATAGCAGTGGGATTGAGTTTTAAAATAATCGTCAGTAGTGCCAGTTTATTTTGAAAAAGAAACACTTTTGACAAACCATTGCGAAGTGACTGTAAGAGAAATCTTTACCCTTGGGGAAGCGAAGGATCGGACCACCTAGGCTAGACCTATGGCGTCCCTCGATTACGTGCAGCAGGTGTAGGCTGAGCTTGATAAGAGACCTTTGTCCATAGGCAGTACTCATCTAGGGGGTGGGTAGCAATCCCACTTTTTAATCCGAAACCGCTGTCGGGGCGTTCCCGAAAGTTTCTACGCTGGAGGAGCCTCTACACTCAGAGAGATAGAGTCGCCTTCTCTATCTAGAGAGTACGTGAGGGGGGGATGGGCTGATGTATTTCAGCCCGTTAGCCCCTCGCGTGCGGCGTACGACCCGACGCACAATGCGGGCCCGACCATTCGGAGTGGACAAGCGGGGAGCGTGGCTACTGACCCTTAGGGGCCGGGACACCACTACACCAATGCTGCGGCGGTAACACTTTTCCGTCGTATGCAGAAGTGCGTCAGCTCCCATCTTGAGAATCAAAGCGTCCGATAAGGCCATGAGCCAGGTGCGGACGTTAAAGATCCTCTTGTCTTGTTGACGATGAGTAAATCGGGAACGCATGTAAGAGAAATCTGTAAAATAAGTAGAAAACGGGTACACCAAACTGCGCCGAGGCCTAGATATTTGGCGTTGAACACGATTAATTATCCGTATGATATCATCAAATCAGTCAGTCGTGGGATATTGTGTCAAACTTTGTGACCTTTCTGTAATGTCATTCATAACGAATAAAGAACCTAACCTAACTCAGCCCTAATTCTACTTAACCTAAGTTTAACTCTAACTCAACTTAAACATAAACTAACCCGTCCCAAATGCTAACCTTGCCTAAAGCGGCCCATAGACGGTCAATATTATTGTACAATATAGATTGCACAATAATTTGACGGTTGCCCCTTAATGTTTAATAATATTGTACAAAATTTTGTTTGTGCAATGAACTGTACCACTTGTTGATACTTCACAAACTGACTGATATTGCGCAATAATGCCAACATACGGAGCAATATTTTCCAGGTTGTACATTATATTTTCAACTTTTCGTCAATCATGCAATGTATTGCACAAACTTTCAATATCGTCTACACACTATCAATTAAATTGCACAACCCAAAATATTGTGCAATAATATTGATCGTCTATGGGCCGCTTAACGTTCCAAACCGTCCCTAAACTAATTCGTCCCTAACCTTTGCACCACCTAACCAAACCAAACTCGTTCCTAAGTCTACCTAACCATAACTCTACCTAAACTAATCTAACCCGTAACTAACCTGAGCTCAACTCAATAGAAATGATGAATGGTGGAGTGAGTGTGGTGTTCAATCCTTTTTAAATACGGATTGACCTCAACTCTACTCTATCTAAGCCTAGCCTAACCCTAACCCTGCGGGAAAGCTCCAGTCTCCCTCCAAACAATTTTAAAAATGAAGTATCAACATACAAATGTTTCCAATGTGTAGTTTGTGCATGCTTCACTTTGCCTGGACTCTTTCTATGTTCAGATACTATAAAAAATAGTACTTATGTATATTTTAGGTTATAGGTTAGGGATGTTTAGGGATTTCAATTCTTCTACGAAGAGGATATTTTCAGAATTTAAATGATAAGTCTTTTAAAATGGTAAGATATGTTGCTCAATTTGTAACTGGGTCGAAAAGAGACATTTCGTTTTCTGGCTACCTGTCCTATGTCATCATCAGAAATTAGGGACCAGGTATTTTTATAACTATGTTTATAATAATACTCTTGCTGAAATGTTATTATATAATAAAAGATTTTCTCTTCTCTTCTTAATGTTGGAGCTGATAAGTTCTGTCTAATGTTATTTATTATTATTGCTATTGGACGGTTTATTATGCAGTAGTAATATTGTGTACTAGAATGTACGTAGATTGTGCTATTTAGTCACAATTTATTTTAAAGCAACTCCAGTAAATCCCATTTCGTCAGTAATTTGAGTTTTTATAACGCTAGTTTATCAGTCAATCAATTAAATATTAAAAATTATAGAGCTGTTAATGTCAATTTTTTCCAATTCACTAAGAATTTATATTATTTGATGTTTTTTCTTTTCTTTTTTTCTTTTTTAATCTGGGCCATCATACGTTTATACACGGCATCTCTATTCAATTCATCCAATTTCTGGCGGATATGAAGGGCACGGAGATCGATGCATAGAAGAATCGCAAGTCAAATAAATTTCTCTCGTAAATACTAAAACGAATTATTTCATTGACGATCCTGTGCGGATTTGCAGGAATTAAAATATTTGTGTATTATGTTGCAAAAGCGCTAGAGTGCTGCAAGTAACTTTGTGTTTGTACGAATTTTGTATTGTAACATTAAAAGATTGAAGAGTAGTCTATTAATATATTCTTTCGCTTGAGAGGAAATCGCGAGGTTCTGGAAGAGATGAAGGGGAATGGAATCTGGAAGGGTGCGGGATGAAAGGTTTTGGACTAGGAAGTTGAGATGAGGTTCCCGGGTTTTACGTAGGCATCTGTTTTGTCCTCTTGCGGTTTTCAGGATAAATAGGATTTGAAGGTTCGTGTGGTTGGTTATGAAATATGTAGCATGGGTAATGATTCGAAGGGTTTTGAAATGGAGTGATTGGTTTCTTTTGAGGTTGGTACTTTTGGCTGAACCTCACCACGTTCGATTGCATACATCAAGATTGGTTGTCCTAATGCTGTATGGATGATGGGTTTGTTTCGATGCGTTGTTCTGTTCAGTTCTATTCCTTTGAGTCGAATACGGGGGTGCAACACTTTTGTCGGTGTAAAGTCCCAAATAGTGGATGACCTTGTTTGCTAGGAATGTAACAGAGTTTTGGTAGATTAAAGACGTGATATGGCAAAGGGTAAACATTATTTGCTGGGTTTTGTTGAGACTGAACATCAATTTCTAGAACCATTCTTCCAAAAATGTCTTGAAGGAAGGCCACTACGAGTCTGGGTTTGCTGAAAGGATGGTGGTATCGTCTGCAGATGTGAGGAGTATTGTATCGTGAAGGAATGTCTGTAGAGGTAAATTGAATAAGAATGGGGCTTAAATATAAAATGTAAATATCTTACACGGCCTGTGCTGTACCAAATGTTATTACTTTCAATTCTAGGCCGTCATAAAATTTATTGGGTATGATGCTTCAGAATCCTTCGTTGACTACCATCCTACAATATTTGACGTTCGGTTAAGACTAGATATGCGAGATATAAGATAATCATTATAATCTGTTTCATGTTCCAAATCAAGCGTATCTTTTTGAGAAATATCGCCTAAGATCAATAAACATACACCGATGTCTGGGGGTCTTGCTCCAAATGAGCTGTATAGAATTTTTAAAAGGATAGGACCTGAACCGGATAAGGAATAATTTAAAATAAAACTAAATTAATTTTGCCAAACTTGGGCGCCAGGCATAAAGCTAAAGCTAAAGGTATATTAGAAAGTAGAGAAAGACGCAGCTTAGTCATTAAAGATAAAAATAAATGCTCATGACCAGCCAGCGTTGGCGAGAGTAAAGATCGCCTAGCAAGCAAGAAAAATAATATGAACAGGGAAAAATAGGTAATAACGTAGAATAAGATAATGAGGCAAGGTATAATTAACAAATTAGTACATCTTTCGGGAAAATTGGTAGCGGAGTGGCCGGGAGTCGGGACCGTCCAGTCGCAGGGCCCCTCGGCATCATAAAGTAAGGAAATCCGTGACTTACAAGAATCCATGATCCACTTGGCTACAAGGAAAATACATCGCTTTGATAAATCCGACAAATCAATACTGCAACAGGACTTACGCACGTAGTCTGAATGACCAACCCTTCAGATAACCTGGCGTCGTGCCATCTGACTGCATTTCCCGTTCACTGGTGCATGGTTTGAAAGCAATTCAGAAAGCACAGAACAAAAGTAATACAAATTTGGTCGTTTCCGATCATTATTGATCTGCCCATCCTAACTACGCTATTTCGCCACTTTCAGTTCGTTTGTATGATTTTTGTGAAGTCAGCGTATGTGCAAGAACGTTCATTTTTCGTCCTTTTTGTACGCCCCTCACGATTTTATAAGAGACTTGACTTCATAAAAATCACACAGAATACAACACAGAAATTGGTGAAATGCGAAAACGCATCTAACGACCAACACAGCTAGGATATGAGACCAAAATGGTCGGTAACGACCAAATTTTAGATTCATCATCTCGCAGACCACATACAGAGAGCTCCAAAAGTAATCAAGTTCAAACGCTCACTGAAATATGTAAACATGTTGGATAATAATGGCTTATGAAATGAAGTATAATTACTATAATTTTTTTATTAAAAAAAATGTTTTTATGTGCTGAAACTTTTATAACAACCATGAAATAAAATTCGTTTTGTTTTATCAGACCTGAAACAGAAGCGTTAAGCCTTATATACGAAAAACTAGTTGGCGTATCCCACGGTATGCCAACGCAAAACAACCACCATTTAGCCGTGTCCACAGCACCTTTGATAAACTCTAAGGTAAAATTGAATAATTCTATTGAAAAGAAAGCGCCAATCTGAAGACTCTCTCTTTAGGGTAAGGAAGGACTTGAAAGGACTGTGTTCCGAGATCTGCTCCACAACACGTTCAACGTCTCCGCGGAGGACATCCTCATGGAAAGGATCTTCTGCGCTTTCGACACCTCCTGCGACGGTATCATCAAATGTGACGAATGGGTCCAGGGGATGTCAGCGTTTCTTAGGGGCACCCTTGAAGAGAAAACTGCTTTCGCCTTTGCCGTCTACGACCTCAACAATGACGGCTACATCGTCAGGGAAGAAATGTTCAGCTTGCTCAAGTGAGTATGAAATTATTTACGTCCATGCTTCTCTAAAATTGGATTAGTAGTGGATCTTACAATTAAAATGCCAGTTTAATTGCTTACATACTATTTATCTAATTGTTACGTGTTGCCACAACATTTATCCCTGTTGTTATTTATCGTAATACTTGGTTTAAAAAATGGTACAAGAGACTTGCAAATAAGTTGTCTACTAGATTATAAACAATATACAACTACCAAAATAGAGGACCGCGGTAGCCGAGTGGTTAGCATGAGAGACTCTCACGCCGCGGTTGTGGGTTTGATTCCCACCGTCGCCTCTGGCCCTTTTTTCCCGATAACCCCCAATTTGAACACACAAGAATTCGTACCATGGCTAATATGCAAGATCATAAGGCCAATAAAAAATTTCAATCCCAATATTCCATAGTTTTTAGAGGATTTATCATCAATGATTTCTGAAAATGATATGCTAGGAATCGTACAACTGCATCCCCGAAAAATTCATAAACCCCATAAACACTTGTAAGAGCATGGTATCTGCCGAATAGACTATAGCACATCTTACGGACCTATTTTTATTATGTAGCATGAGGCCAAGACGAATTTAATTTATTAACTTCTACCTTATGAACAGAGTGTTATCAAATTTGTAAAAATTGTTGTGTTTTCGTTTGCTAATAAATTGTTAGCAAGTGTAATTTTCTCCCTGGGAAAAATACGGGCTTTACTCAAATTACACTATAGCCATAATAGGAAAATAGGAACCCTTCCAAATTTTCAATATTTCGCCGAGTTCAATTTTAACAGTGATCAAACATAAAACAAATTTTATTAAATCATTAAAAAGAGCAGCGGCGTATCAAGCCGAAGATCGTGGGTTCGAATCCCGCTCGTGCCATTGACTTTTTTATCTCAACTAAAAACCTTAATTAATTGTTATAAAACATATTGTTGAAGTCGGAAAGTAAAGCTCCGCAAAATTGAACTTCATTTAATATTTCTCTAATTAAATAAAACTTAAAGGAACTTAGTAGAATCATGGGAAATGCTGATTCTAATTTAAACTCCATTTTTAAGTCTTATAATAAACTGTTCACATATGTTTTATTATTGGTCTTATTGTACAGCACTTCATACCAAAATAAATTTTCATAAATTATTATTTCCTCAAACTTTACTTTATGAATGTAATTTAAATTTGTGTGTTTTTAGTGACCTGTTGTTTCGTAATTTGTTGAAGTCGTGAGGTTATATAGAAAAACACCTTTTTTTAATTTTTTTGACGACGTTTCGGCCATCCAACATCCAGCGCATCACAATCCTTCTAGTCAAAAGTCCTCAAAGCTATGTCAAACCTCCTTGTTACGCCACTAGCTTCACTATCCACAACGACCTCAACATTCTTTTTGTCAACGAACTGATCCGTTCCCGATTCCAAAAGTTTCACACCAATCTCTGTATCCGTCCTAACCATACTGACCAAGCCCTATCTAAACATTCCCAGTTCGAGAACCCGCCACGTCGCCTTAATCGACGATAGCCTCGGGACCTCCTTGCTCCTTAATCCTTCACATTGAGTGTCAGCATTGGTTGGTTTCTCATGGCATGTGTCCTCCGGGTGCAGCGCTGGCATTAGTGTTAAAAAAACATTTTGTAATCACATTTGTAATATGTACGAATATGTACAGAGTACAAATAAAATAACTTAAAAAAGGAACACCTGGACACTCTAGAATGCACTGAACCTCTGGACACCTTCGACCTCGGCCAACTCCTTGTACAATATCTATGCTGCTCGCGATACAGAATCGAAGATAATATTTTGCTCTGAAGAGCATATCTACATCCTCGTTTTCATACTAAACAACCTTTTATAAAAATATACATGTTACAGGTTTTCAAATGAATATTACTAACGTTTTAAGCTAGGCAATAAATTGAAAGTTCTCTATAAAATGTACAAAATAGGCGTGGTCGGAGAAAGATACGTTCGAAAGTAAACTGATTCGTCAAAACAACCTCAATAGCGTCCCTTTCTCGGATCTCCAGCGTGAAGGCTTTCGTTTTCGCCTTGCATATTCATTTCAGCGCTGATCGAAGCCCGTGTGATTCTTGCAGGAACAGCCTCGTGAAGCAGCCGCAGGAAGAGGACCCAGAAGAAGGAGTCAAAGAGCTGGTGGAGCTCGTGTTGAAAAAGCTCGACAGGGACAAGGATGGTAAAGTGTCCTTCGAGGATTTTCGCGGTGCAGTCGAAGAAGAACCCCTTTTCTTGGAAGCCTTCGGTCAGTGCCTTCCTTCAGACACGGCGACCGCTGCTTTCCTGGCAACTTTGTCGTAATCAAAATAATATCAGTTATAACACTTAAAAAAGAAAAAATTTGTTTCATACGATAAAACTTTTAAAAATTTTCTTACTAAACGTATAAAATATTTATAATTCAAAGTTAAATAAGCTAGTAAATATCATTCTGGAATTAATTTTAAACAACGTGTTTCTATTTTTTATGTACGGAAATTATTACGTTAAAACTATGAAAAACTTAAAAAAACAAAAAAACACATAACACGTGTAGAAATATATAAATAAAAAACTGTCGTTTGTAAGTTTTAAACAAAGAAAATTGACAAACTTGTATATAGACAAAATACAGATTTTTAAAATACAATATTGTAATCATTTCCATTCAAAATTCATCATTACTGTAATCTTTAAAACTTGCCTGTGTGTGTGTGTGCGATTGCATCTTAACAATAATATTGTCTGTATTAAATCCTACAAAATCTAGCATTACTTGACTTAATTCAAATTTATTTCTTGACCTGATTATGTTAAGCAAATTTTTGGAATTGGGTTTCTAACCTGCAAGAATATTTAAATATGTAACATATTTTTTCCGTGTAGCTATATAATCAATCTAGACGTATACCAAGTTTGAGAATAATTCATTGCATAATTTTAAAAAAAGCAAATTCTTAAAACTTCGGTGTAATCAGAAACTCTTTCGTACTCTCTCTCTCACTCTCTCTCTCTCTCTCTCTCTCTCTCTCTCTCTCTTTCTCTCTATCTGCTGTCTATCTAGATATCTATCTGTCTTTCTATCTCATCATCTCTCTCTCACTCTCTCTCTTTTTCTCTCTCTCTCTCTATCTATCTATCTATCTATCTATCTGTCTATCTAGATATCTACCTGTCTATCTATCTAGATATCTATCTGTCTTTCTATCTCATCATCTCTCTCTCGTTCTTTTCCTCTACCTTTGTCTATCTTCTTTCTCTAAGCATCTCTACCTCTATCTAACTCTTAATATCTCCCTTTTAATTTGATTTTGATTAGATATTCGACTATTTAAAAATATTTGCGGTCTGTGTATTCTTATACATCTGCCTATTTTGTGAAAAAACGAAACGTGTAATATTGTATTTTTTAGTACTTTAGTAGTTACTATGCAACTCACGGGGGCCTAAATGACTTTGGTTATAGAAAAATGCCCCATTATTTATTAGACCATTAAATAGTGCCGTTCATGATAAATGTCTATCCAAATGACGATGATGATCATGATGGTGGTAATGAAGAATCACATAACGGTCACAGACGGAACAAATTGAAGTTGACAAGGTTTGGACATAAACAGAGTGTTCCGTTTATTTTATTTATTTGTTTTTTTATGAGGATATTTCAACTTCGAGGTTGTATAAACCCTCGGTGTGCCGCTGGTCTTGGAAAAAGCCCATTTGTAAGTATGTCGGGTTGGAATGTAGGGATAGAAATACACTTAGTACTTACCCGATGCTACGCCATGCGACGCTACCCGATGCTACCCGACGCCTTGCCACGTTTTGGTGGGGTGTGCACATCTATCCGACGCAAGCACACGTCGCGTACAGTCCACAGCGTTTATCACAATAATCACTATCACAATCGCAACGCATCTTTTGTTCTTAATGCACTATTTTGAGCAAAACCTTGTAATAAATTGTTAGTTAAATTTTATGAGCACAACCATCTAATAAATTGTTTGTTAAACTTAATTGTTTTAAATAAAGTTACTCCTAACCATCATAATTAAACAATGTTTATAAAAACTTATGCATTTTTGATCTCGTTTAATTTGGTTTACATTAAAATAACATGTTGTAATTAATATAACGACAAAATTACATGTACTTAGTTTGAAATAAACTACAAAAAATATGAGTGTCCTGTTCTGATGCTACCCGACATTACAAAATGGTGTAATTTTACGAGCAAAACTATGAAATAAATTGTTAATTAAATTTTATGAGCAAAACCGTGTAATAAATTGTTCCAATTTTAGTATATGTACCGCCGAAGCGAGTACAATAAATTGTTAGTTAAATTCATTATATCAAAAAATCGTATTCCGGTGTTTTGATTAATTTTCTACCAAACCATTAAAATTAATTTTTTAAATAAAAACTAATTAATTTTTAATCACAGTTAATTTGGTTTATATTAAAATAAGTATGTTGTAATTAATATAACGACAATAATACATGTAGTTTGAATAAAAATATGAGTGTCCGGTTCTTTTGTCTTGGACTGTACTCAATGCGACCCGACGAAAATCTGGACAGTGGGGATCGCAGAGCGTCGGGTAGATGTGCACGGGGGTAATGCAACCTTATGGAAAATCGGAGTTTGGATTTGCGTCGGGTAGCGTCGCATGGCGTAGCATCGGGTAAGTGTGTTTCTGGCTTAAACCGTTGCGGCCACCGACGCCCCAGAGATGTGTGAGACTGAGAAGCACTTACCACATATAGGGGTTAATAGTAAGGCAGAGTGCTGAGTAAGAAGCGTTCCTCCTCACAAAAACGGGAAAGAAAAGGTAAAGAGGAGAAGGCAAAACTCTTTTGCTATAAGAGTTTATTAAAACCTATATACATATATATCCCTATATCCTACCGTCACCATTCGTTCAATAAATTCCCAAACACCCAGTCAACAGAAATAATAATGTTTTCTTTTGAGCTTACGGGTCCCTTTTAAAAGTATTATTTTCCAATTTACGGAGAAGAGCTCCAACCTGTTTGCCGTGTCGCATACACCTGAATCTGTTTCCTACATCTCGTACCACGACGTCACTATGGTGGGGAGTCAATCATGTATGTGACAGATGTCAGAGAGAAGCCCCGGAAACAGATGTCAAAAATTCAGTAGGTGTTAATGTCTACAATTTCATTGTCCATATCAATGAAATTAAAATTCCATTGTTACCAAGAAAATTTTAATTAAACGATATTATTTCACCCCAGCCAGGAAAGCTAACAGGTTTAATACTATATTAAAATATTTTCATTTTTATTATTATCGGTTAGATAGTCATACGGTCCTTCATCATTAACATTTTTATACTGTGGGTCGATCATTCATTCTTCATAATTTATACAAGTTAATTTTTTCTTCGGGATGTTGAAACTATGTTGAACGTGGTCATACAAGAACTCGAATCGGGAATATACTCATACATAAATAATTAACAAATACTGCTGTTTAAATCATTTGATGTATTTTAATTTTGGAATTTTTCACTGAATTCATTATGACTTTTGTTTATTATTTGCACACGTATGGTTCGTTAATTATCGATATCAGTATTCATTCCTGTGTCTTAAAACCAAATTGCACGTGGAAAAAAAATAGCCATAATATTTTTTCTTTTCGACTGTTTTTAGCGTTTTCTGATTAGTTCAGTCAGTAAACTAACCCTTAAATTGGAATATTTTTTTTACTAATTGGAAGTTAATAAAAAATAATTAATAAAAATGAAATCTTTTGTACGTGTTAAGTGGAAAAATATAAATAAATGCAATGGTACTATTAACAGCAATGGTACTAAAAAAGAAGGGACATAGCTATCCTCTCCTCCAGAGAGTGGGGCTGCCGGCATACCCGGACTAGAATACAACGTTAGTTTTCTCCCAGATGACGGTTCGAAAAGAAGACAGCAAATTCAGTGAAACAAACACGGTAAGTAGTATATTTAATTAAATTAAAATATTTACAAAAACACAACAATGTACTTTGTCATTAAAAATATCTGGTTGACTTAAAGAACAAAATATATTTTCAAAAAATGATACATCTTCATTGACTTATTTTCATGTTTCAAAAACCTCAAAAATACATTCCAGCGATCTTAAGTAATATAAACCAAAGAGAAAAACAAAAAATATTATTTTTGGTATAAAAACAATGGCGAAGGTTTCAGTTTGTTTTGTTTTGTCTGTATCTGATTGAACGTGTTATTTTGCAGTGATGTAACCATGTTCAAAAGGTTTTCTCCATATTCATGAAATCTAATATACTTTTAGAATCTGCACATATAAATACAAATCACCATTTGAAAAAAAAATGTTTTTAAGTAATTGACCAAAACTGTAATTATTGCAATGTTTAAACGATTTTTAAAATTTTTTCCTAGGTTGAGTGGTTTTCGAGAAAATCAGGGGGAACCCTAGTTAGATTGACGTATATGTTTGCTTGCTTTGTGCATAATCAAAATACCACGAATAATTTGTAACAACTTGAAATAATATTTATATAAAACATAATCTGTCGTGCAACGTAAGTTCAATGAAAATAAGAAGCAAATGATAAAATTGTATCGTGCGAGATAATTTATCTAATCAAATTGGATAAAACCATGATCCTTTATCATCCCAAAGAATTATAATTGATCTGACACTTATAAATGTATTACGAAAGAAAAATATACGTGGATATAAAATGAATTTAATAGTACCTATAAAACATGACAATTTAGGTGAATAAAGACACCGAAAAATTCAATCAACACATATTCTTTTAACTCATGAAATAAGTTCACTAATTTCGTGGTCCGCTTGACCAATTAATATATTACAATTAATTAAGGTTTTTAGTTGAGATAAAAAAGTCAATGTCACGAGCGGGATTCGAACCCACGATCTTCGGCTTGATACGCCGCTGCTCTACCGCTTGAGCTATCGTGACCTCGATCCACTCGGACACAACTTCCCATCTCAACCGCACCTTTTGAATTTTCCCTCCTTTTAATCGGGGTTCGAATCCCGCTCGTGCCATTGACTTTTTTATCTCAACTAAAAACCTTAATTAATTGTAATATATTAATTGGTCAAGCGGACCACGAAATTAGTGAATTTAATGATTTAAAATGAAGTATACTTCACTAAAGCTCTCCGTGGCCATTTCATTTGTCGTCGACAATGCAATCCGATTACACGACATTTGAAAAATGGCAAAAAGGAGGGAAAATGTAAAAAAAAAAAAGGGCGGTTGAGATGGGAACTTGGTGACCGAGTGGATCGAGGTCACGATAGCTCAAGTGGTAGAGCAGCGGCGTATCAAGCCGAAGATCGTGGGTTCGAATCCCGCTCGTGACATTGACTTTTTTATCTCAACTAAAAACCTTAATTAATTGTAATCATGAAATAACGTTAAATCTATTGAACGTAAGAGAAAAAGAAGGATGGGAATCAATCGGCTGAAGAAGACTCCTGACTTCAATAAGTTCCTGGTGAGTAATGTAACGGCAATACAAAAAAAGAAAAAAAGGTGGAGAGAGAGAGAGAGAGAGAGAGAGAGAGAGAGAGAGAGAGAGAGAGAGAAAAAAAAAGAAG